CATTATTACAAATAACTTCATTTCTGGACATTTATGGTTTGATTTCTTTGTATGTATGGATCACTTGGGTTGTTACCAACATCTGGTGAAAATTTAATTTCATTAGCACCTCTAGTAATATATTTACTGAGAAAAATGGTGATGTGTTCAAAACTTATTTTACCCGCTGTATGCAGGAGGAAACTCAACTCTGGTTTGTATGAATTTGAAGAAGATAATAATGATGAGTTCAGTGTTGTATAAAGTACCTCAAAATGATACTTGAGTAAAAGTACAAGTATCTTATCATAAAAATACTTTGGTAAAAGTTAAAGTCTTCTCTAAAAATATTACTTGAGTAAAAGTACAAGTATCTTATCATAAAAATACTTTGGTAAAAGTTAAAGTCTTTTCTAAAAATATTACTTGAGTAAAAGTATTAAAGTATTCAGCATTATTTGTACTTAAGTATCAAAAGTAAATTTCTGACACAAAACCTACTTAAGTATTAAAAGTAAAAGTACTGAGTAAAAGTGAGCAGTTAGATTTTCCAAAATGACATTTATTGGGAGGTGACTTCTCCAAAAATATATTTTCTAACAGCGTGCAGCTGTGATGGGTTGTGTACAAGCTAACAATGTGTCAGAATGGTATATATTTATACTTCTCATCCAAACACAATTAAATTCACTCTATCCAGGAGACAATTTGTCAGGATAATATTTTTTAAGTAATAACTCAGAATAAAATAGGAGTAACAACTTTCTACTTCTTACCTTTTTAAAAAATGTAGTGAGTAGAAAGTACAGATAATTGTGTAAAAATGTAATGAGTAAAAGTAAAAAGTATGCTGAAAAATAATTGCTCAAGTAAAGTACAGATACCCAAAATTCTACTTAAATACAGTAACAAAGTAATTGTACTTTACAACTCTGGATGAATGTATAAACTGTGATAAAAACCACTGATTTTATATCAACAGCATATTTTTTTCACCCCTCAGGACGAAATGAGTTGATCGCACGGTACATCAAGCTTCGCACGGGGAAGACACGGACCAGGAAGCAGGTGAGTTCTTTGGAAATGCCATTTGCTGCTGCAACTATTTTTGAACCTCTCCAGAAAATGCTGTTGAGTGATGCCTCAACACCCAGTGCAAACCCACCCGCCGGACCCTCAGCCCTACGACTGGGAGCAGCAGAGATGACGATTGATTTAGGGCCAGTTCCTAACGCACAGATGCTATAGGATCGTGTGTCGGTGTTGTTTCTTTAGCACCTCATGGATCTGGTGCTTGTTAGAAGGGAAAAGGAGCTGAGGAGTACCGTGATGTAGACGTGAAGCTGAGTCAAGATGGAGAAGGGTTTGGAACTCTATCCTTACTACAGGATCTATTTGGAAGAGCTGATGTACAGGGTAATGATGGATGTGCAGTGACAGATCAGAGATGATACTGACACAGGCTGGAGGGATAGAGGGACACCTGCTGGTTTATCAACAGTAAAATCAATGGACTCACATTATAAAACTTTATCGCACACTTTGGTGGGAAGAGACTGAGACGAAGCTGTGCAGGTTCACTGTTGCAAAAGCCCAAATGTTGTTTCTTCACAAGAGATCCTTTTCATTTAAGTTTTAACGGGATCCCCGATTAGTTGTAACATTAGACTTTATTTGATAAACATATATTTTAACTGTAAAATAAAGACTAAAAATACTGTAGGATGTTTAGTTTTGTAAATTTTTAAAAATATATTTTAACACGGACGGAGCCATTTTATTT